ATTTTATATTTGTTTTCCTAGGTGGACGAAATGGCTATGGAGCCAAACTGTGTAACATATTCAGTACCAAATTCACTGTGGAAACAGCTAGTAAAGAATACAAGAAAATGTTCAAGCAGGCAAGTAAATAGGTCTCTTGTGTCTTGATTATAAATTGTAGTATAGCCATTTATAATGACGTTAATGGTCGGTTTCACTTAACATAAGTTATTAAATCGTGGAGTGTTACTCTTGGCTTATAATAGGTTCAGGGCTGATACATTTAGTTCCCATTCACGAAATGACTTGAGACTTTCATGTCTTCTGTTTTTTACTTGCATAGACATGGATGGATAACATGGGGAGGGCTGGCGAGATGGAGCTCAAGCCCTTTAGTGGAGAAGATTATACATGTATCACCTTCCAGCCTGATTTATCCAAGTTTAAAATGCAAAACCTAGACAAAGACATTGTTGCACTGATGGTGAGAAGAGCATATGATATCGCTGGCTCCACTAAAGACGTCAAAGTCTTTCTCAATGGAAATAAGTTGCCGGTGAGTATTTCCGTATTTCCCAGGCTAAAGACAGGAAATTAGTGATGTTGTCAAATGCAAAACTGATTTTTTTCCTCCTAGTTTTTTCCTTGTCATTTCCCCAGATACATTTCTAAAAAGAGAATGGAATACATTTTTTAACAAGATCATTTTAGACTCGCAGAAGGAATTTCTGTCTCAAATACCTAAAAAAGAAATACTCTTATCCATCCCTCTTTTTTAAGGGAAAAAGGTTTATTTAGCTCAAAATCTGTAGAGGTTCTAGTCTGTGATTGCCCCAATGCAGAGTGACTTGACAGAGGAGAACCAGTTCCTGGCAATCAGAAGACAGCAAAAGCAAGCAAGCAAGAGTCTTACACCCTTTTTTCTGTTTTTTTTTTTTTTTAACAATATTCAAGTTTATTAAACAAATGAAAAAATTAGTTTTTCTTTTTTCTGTATTTATTGCAGGGTCTACAGGGTCTTACTACGTAGATTGAACTCTTAGTATTCTCCTGTTTTCAGCTTCCCAAGTGCTGTTATGACAGGCGTGTGTCACCTCCCCCAGTTTCAATCACCCTGGCCCCACGGGCGAGGCTGGCACAACATGCCTGGGATCGGGGATCGAACCCCAGCTGCTGTACTCTGCCTAAGGCACTTTAGTCCACTGAGCTATCAGGCCAGCCCTGAAAAGATTAGTTTTAAAATGTTTAACTTTAGCCATGGAGATAGCTCAGCAGCATAAGCACCTTGTTGGCAAGCTCAAAGTCCAGAGTTTGATTCCTGGTACCACAAAATAAATAATAAAATGTTTGACTTTATCAGCTTTTAAGGTTTATGTTGCTGCCAAATTTTGCATACAATTGAACTTTCAAATCTTAACATCTGCTGAATTGATTCTACTCTGGATTTTTTTTTTTTTTTTTCCTACTCTGGATTTTAAGGCCTCAACTTCTTACAAATTTTTCTTTGCTTCATCCAACATTTCTTGTCTTTCTTCTTGAGAGTGACTGATGAAAACTTCACCAATCTGATATCACTAAGCAGTTGCCGTCTGCAAGTATGATGTCATCACAAGCATCTAATTCTGGAGTAGTTTCTTTTTTATTTGTATTTCTTACTTTAGCTCTGATTCTCTTTGTACTCCATGCAAATTTGTTATCTTTTGTTCATCTTCAAAAGTAACACTGGACCTGGAGAGATAGCTTAGCAGTCTTAAGTGCCTGCCCGGCAAGCGCGAGGGCCTGTGCTCCATCCCCTGTACTGTGTGCCATGCCAGCTGTAGAACGCCAGGCACGCCTGGCTAGCCACAGTGGTAGTGCACGCCTGTAATTTCAGCTCTGGGAGGCTGAGACAGGAGGATCCGTATGAGACCAAGCTGCATAGCAAGACCGCTGTACCAAATAAATAAGTTTTTAAGAAAATTTTTACAAAGTAACATTGGCATCTTTTGCAGCCACTTCATGGTGGCTGCCTGCTTTGCCCTTAATAACCATTTCTTTTAGCCCACTAGTGTAAATCATTCAGTGGTTTTGAAAAGTCCTACATAGCCTATTATAATTCTACTTTTATAGCTTTTAATTTAAAATACCATTGCCCTTCACTCCTTTACAGGTCAAAGGATTCCGTAGCTATGTGGATATGTATTTAAAGGATAAGTTGGATGAAACTGGTAACCCATTGAAAGTAATACACGAACAAGTAAACCACAGATGGGAGGTGTGTTTAACAATGAGTGAAAAAGGCTTCCAGCAAATTAGCTTCGTCAATAGCATTGCTACTTCCAAGGTACTGTCCTAAGTGTTCTTAATGTTTTTAATATATACAGTAGATAGAAATTTGGCTACCTTAGTATAAAGAAGCTAAATGCAGGCCAGGGAGATAGCTCAGATGAATAAGCACTTGCCTGGCAAGTGCAAGGTCCTGAGTTCAATCTCCGGTTCCACAAAAAAAGAAGCAGCAGCTAAACACGTTTTACATGTTTGATTATTACTGTACTTGTGAGGATGCTGAGGCTGACAGTTACTCTTCCTCCTAAGGGTGGCAGACATGTGGATTATGTAGCTGATCAGATTGTGGCCAAGCTTGCTGATGTAGTAAAGAAGAAGAACAAGGGTGGTGTTGCTGTGAAGGCACATCAGGTATGGTGTTCGAGCACTTTTCTTTTCCTAAAGTCAAGGCAGAAGAGAGACTATATATAAAGCTTGAAAGATGTTTTGGTGACTTTATACCAACAACTCTTCATTGCAGGTGAAAAACCACATGTGGATTTTTGTGAACGCCTTAATTGAAAACCCGACCTTTGACTCTCAGACAAAAGAAAACATGACTTTGCAAGCCAAGAGCTTTGGGTCAACATGCCAGTTAAGTGAGAAGTTCATCAAAGCTGTGAGTACCTCAAGGGGAATAGAAATGCAAGCACCTGACTTCACTGTTCATGGCCCCTCTCAGCTCTGCAGAAAAAGATTTCATCCCACACTATACTTCACATTTTCCCAGTCTGAAAAGTGCGAAATAGCTTTATACTTTTTTTTTTCCCCCCCCTGGAACCAGGGATTAAACTCAAGAGGCTCTTGCACTTGCCAGGGAAGCGCTTATTCTACTGAGCCATCTCCCTGGCTTAGATTTATACTTCTAATCTTACGAAAGCCTTTTATCCCATCAGTATGCCCCCTTTTTTTTTTGTATTTTAGGGAATGGTCTACAGGGTGTTCAGGGTCTCACTACTAGATAGGACTCTGTAGTGATACTCCTGTTTACAGCCTCCCAAGAGCTGGGATTACAGGTGCACACACCACCATGCTCAGTCTCAGTTTGCCTATTTTTTCCCAAGTAAATACAAACTAAATTAGTTACCTCCATACTCACTGACTCATATATAAGAAACACTCATTCTCTAACAGATTAAAGTATTTCCTATCTTAGTAAAAAGGAAAAAAAAATGGCGGGAGGGAGCCCTTTCTAGCATATCATTTCTTGGATACCTCAGCAACCTCTAGGTTCTTCACCTTCATATTGTATCAGCTCTTTTTTTCTTTCTTTTTTTTTTTATTTGATGCAGCGTCTCACTACATAGATCAGACTCATAGTGATTCAACTGTTTTCAACCTCCCAAGCACTGAGATTACAGGCCCTCCACCATGCCCAGTCTGAATTGCTGTCTCAGTGCGCCCTGGGGGCGGGGCGGGGCCCCCACAACAGGCTGAGGCTGGGGATCAAACCCCTGCCTCCGTGTGCTGCCTGAGTAGGTGCTTTAGTCTGCTGAGTTATCTGGCCAGCTCATGTGTCAGCTCTTTCTTTGCAATGGTCTTGTGCAACCTTTTGTGTCAAGATACACATTTTTGTCTCTAGTCTCTTGCAGTCTTTCAGTGACTTCTGCTCAGAAAAAGCCTGAATTCTTCAGGAAAGCCTTTATTGTTTACCCATCTCCCCAGCTAAGCTGGTTCCAGATGACATTGCATCTGCATTATCATTTAATCATGGCTCATCATACTTGTAATTTCTCCTCTTTTTTTCTACCTTCCATACCTTTAAGCTCTTTGAGGATAAAGGCCTTGTCCAATTATATCTCTAACAAGTACTCAGTGTCTAGCACAGTGTAACAAAATAGTACATGTTTATTCAGTGAGCCAAAAGCAACCAGCTAGCTACTTTACTGATGATAAGGCAAGAAGATATAGAAATTATTGTGTGATTCTAGTCAGGAATGATTGTTCTGTTTTTCAGTCTCTGAATTATTTTTATTTTCCTGGGAGTTCATTTCTGTTACAGACTTCTAACACAGTCCTTTTTCCTAAAATGAATCTTGTTTGCAGGCAACTGGCTGTGGTATTGTAGAAAGCATACTGAACTGGGTGAAGTTTAAGGCCCAGGTCCAGTTAAACAAGAAATGTTCAGCTGTAAAACACAACAGAATCAAGGGAATTCCCAAACTTGATGATGCCAATGATGCAGGTACATATTTAACAATGTTCCCAAACTTTATATTTTGTGCGTCAGTTTTGTTCCTTAAAGCATACCATGGATATTTTCCCTTCATGTTTAATATTTAATACTTTTAAGAAAGTCTTTTTTTTTTTTTTTTTTTTTTTTTTTTTTTTTTGGCGTAACCAGGGATTAAACTCAGACTCTTGCACTTGCCAGAGAAGCGCTTATTCTACTGAACCCTCTCCTCAGCCCCAAAAGTTCAGAAATGTTCTTTTTTGTTTTTTGTTTTTTGGGTTTTTTTTGGCTAGCTCAGGATGCCTTCAGGGCAGGTCTGGTAAGGCTTGAGGATCTGGGGCTTGAACCACAGCATCCTGATTGCTTTATATAAGCAGTCACTTAAACAACTGAGCTAATGGGCAGGCCCCCTATTTATTTATTTGGTACAGGGTCTCACTATGCAGCTCAGACTCATAGTGATCCTCCTGTCTCTGCCTCCCCAGCGCTGGGATAACAGGCATGTGCTGGCACACTCAGTTTCAATGGCCAGCACCGCACGGCTTGGCAGGGTGCTTGGGCTGCCCAGCTATCTCCCCAGCCCTAATATCCAATACAATAACTTTGATTAAAAAAAAATCAATCAATTCTCTGTTGTTAAACATTTAAATCACTTCCATTTTAGAATCCTTATAATTAATGTTGTGTCCAGGCATGGTGACACATACCTGTAATCCCAGCACTTGAGAGGCTGAGACAAGAGGATGGTTGTGAGTTTGAGACCAGCCTGGGCTACAGAGTGAGCTCAAGGCCAGCCTGAACTGCATAGTGAGACTAGGTCTCAAAAGACAATCATGTTGTGATAATTATTTTGGAACATAAAGTAAATATTTATGTAGTGATGTATTACGTAAAAAAATTTTCAGTATAATCTGATCAAGTGAATATGTAGCAGTCGTGCAAGTATTAGGAGATATTAATCTAAGAAACTGATACATTATTTCTCCCTTGTCTGCAAGGGATATATTCTAAGACTCCCAGTGGAGGAGCTGGGGAGATGGCTTAGAATAAGCACTTGCCTGACAAATACAAAGGCCTGAGTTCAATCCCGGTTCAGCAAAAAAAAAAAAAAAAAAATCAGAAAGACTCCCAGTTGATACCTGAAACTAAATAGTACGAGTACCGACCTTATGTATACTGTTTTTCCTAAACATATATATAACTGATAAATGCACAGGGAGAGATGAACGACAGTAGCTAATAGAACAATTCTAACAGTGTTTTGTGAGAAAAGTTATAAAACACATTGCCATTAATAACCCTCAAAATTCTCCCCCTTCCTTCAAAAGTATTTCCCCCATTTTTCTTGCTATCTTCTTTTTGGCAAGGGGTGGGGAGTAGGGTCTTACTTTGTAGTTCTGGCTGGCCTTGAACTGACTATATAGCTCAGGCACCTTAAGCTCATGGCAGTTTTCCTGCCTCAGCTTCTCAAGTGCTGGGAACATAGGCATATGCCCCACGCTGGGCTCTTTCATTTTCTGAAGGAGTTCTAGAAATCCTCTTTCATGAATGTCCTTGGTTGTGCCTTCATGGCTGCCTCAATGTCCTGAGTCAATTCAAAATGATTAGTTTTTATGGTCATTTTGACTTTGGGGAGGAGCCAGAGGCAGCATGGCGCCAGAGCTGAGAAGAGGTAGTTGGGGACGCCCTGCCTCTACTTAGGCAGCTGCCTTCCTGTTGGGTGGCACTCAGCAGCCCCATTCGCTGTGTTGGTCCGACGGACAGGAACGAAGACTTCAGAACTGCTTCAGAAAGCAGCAAGAATGATGGCGTCAGTGTGTTCCAAGTGTGGGGCAGTATTTTGTAAGGAATGAAGGGCAGTGTGTCTTTTACTGTGATAATTTTTAATTTAGATATTTGCTGCGTATTTTGATCACTGCATGCATCTTCTACTGGCCATTCTTTTTTTTTTTTGGGAACCGGGGATTGAACTCAGGCCCTTGCACTTGCCAGGGAAGCACTTATTCCACTGAGCCATCTCCCCGGCCCCATATTGGCCATTCTTATGACGTGAGGTACTCATAGTACTTAAGCAATAGGAGAGGTAAATGGCAAGGGGCTGTAAGTCAGGGTTTGGCTGCTACATAAAGGTTACTTGAGTATAAGCACGCGGATGATGCAGTCACTCTGATAACGCTGGCAGCTGCTAGATAGCTAACAAAAAGCACACACAGCGTGGACACCGTGAACAGAGTGATGGTTCACGACCCAGGTGGGGCTTTGTGAGCTTTCATCACACTACTCAGAATATTGCACAATTTTAAATTTATGCATTGTTTATTTCTGGAATTTTCCATTTAATATTTTTGGACCATGAAACTATGGAAAGTAGAGCCATGCATAAGAGAAGAGTACTGTGCTATTTCTTTACTGTGACCTTTAAACTATGTCTCTGATTGGCTCCATTTTATTCCTAAATTGTGTTTATCTGAAGGCCAGCTACAGTATTGTCTGAATTAGTATATTTGAGGCTGAAGTAAACATGCCAAAATTAACTAGTGCACTTTTATTTCAGGAAGCCGAAACTCCGCTGAGTGTACACTTATTCTGACTGAGGGGGACTCAGCCAAAACGTTGGCCGTTTCAGGCCTTGGTGTGGTCGGAAGAGACAAATACGGGGTTTTCCCTCTTAGAGGAAAAATACTCAATGTCCGAGAAGCTTCACATAAACAGGTAGAATTTAAAATTCAGTTTAAAATCTTAAGTCTAGTTTAATGCAGGATTTCATGCTTGTATTTCATCTCCTTACTGGGTGTTTTGAAATGTTTCTTTTTTTTTTTCTTTTTTTTTTCCTCTTTTTTTGCGGAACCGGAGATTGAACTCAGACCCTTGAGCTTGCTAGGGAAGCGCTTATTCCACTGAGCCATCTCCCCGGCCCCTTGAAATGTGTCTTAGATGGGTTGTTATTTTAAGAAATTGGGTGTGCTGAACATGTGTGAATTTGACCCTGAGGACTACAAGATAAATATGTACTTTTTTTGAATGTGTGTACTTTTATATCTTAACAGACCTTTCAGTCTTAATAAAATAGGGACTGTGACAGGTGAGGTAGCATACTCCTTATAGTCCCAGGTGTTCAGGAGGCTGAGGCAGGAGGATCACAAGTTCAAATCCAGCCTGGGCAGTTTTTTCTAAGGTTTATTTATTTATTTATTTTGCTGATGCCAAGGATTGAACTCAGGACCTTGTGCTTGCCAGTCAAGCACTTACTCCACTGAGCTGTCTCCCTGACCCCTAGCCTGGGCAGTTTAACAATACTGTCTTAAATTTGTAAAAGGGCTGGAGTTATAGCTCAACAAGAGAACCTGTGTTCAATCCCCAGAACCACACACAGAAAAAGAAAAATGACAGAGACTAATAATGCAAAATACTGGAGTTAAGGAAACCCCAGCCAGTGCATACCATTTTTCTTCTTTATTCTTTTCACATTTATAGACAAAACATTACTCTTTTTGTTATGTGTCATTTCAGATCATGGAAAATGCTGAAATTAATAACATCATCAAGATTGTGGGTCTTCAGTATAAGAAAAACTACGAAGATGAAGATTCGTTGAAGACGCTTCGTTATGGGAAGATAATGATTATGACCGATCAGGTCAGATTTGTTAGGACACTTTCTAAATTATTGGACTTAATTAAGCATTTATTGTTGTTATTTTGGGGTTTTTTGCTTCATTAGTTCTGTTAAAAAATTTAGAAATTAGGAATCAGGGAGATGGCTCAGTGGAATAAGCGCTTCCCTGGCAAGCGCAAGGGCCTGAGTTCAATCCCCGGTTCTGCCCAAAAAAAAAAAAAAAAAATTTAGAAATTCAATCATAGCTCTTTAAGATTTCTAACAATGGTTTTGTGCTTTGCTTTTTCAAATATTTTTAGGACCAAGATGGTTCCCACATCAAAGGCTTGCTGATAAATTTTATCCATCACAACTGGCCCTCTCTTCTTCGACATCGTTTTCTGGAGGAATTTATTACTCCCATTGTAAAAGTATGGCAATTTGTAGGACACAAAATATTCTCAGCGCCTACTCCATGAGCCCTAATGTACATGTGCCCCATAATGCACCATGGTGGCAGGGAGCCCCCAGTGTGCCAAAGCTCAGCAGCGCTCTTTACCGCAGGTGTCTAGAAATAAGCAGGAGCTGGCGTTCTACAGCCTTCCCGAATTTGAGGAATGGAAGGGTTCTACTCCAAATCATAAGAAATGGAAAGTCAAGTATTACAAAGGTTTGTAATGAACTCCATGTGGAAGTTCTCAGGTTTACATGTACAGGGTTATGGGGGTAACTTGGTATTCTTGTTTTTATAGGTTTGGGAACAAGCACATCAAAGGAAGCTAAGGAGTACTTTGCAGATATGAAAAGACATCGTATCCAATTTAAATATTCTGGGCCTGAAGATGATGCTGCCATTAGCCTGGTAAGTTTGAGTTGTACTTTGTATATACATTGTAATTTTGGAATCACTACTTTAGCTAATCAATTGAAACATTTAGATTTTTACATATATTTTATCAAATAGTGTTTCTAGTAAGCCTATTATATCACAGAAAAGAACCAGACATTTTAGGAAATAAAATTTTTCTTGTTTTCCGTAGAAGAAATATTCTGAAACCTGTTAATACCAGTCACATCATTTTCATCTTCTGACTTCTAGGCCTTTAGCAAAAAGCAGACGGATGATCGAAAGGAGTGGTTAACTCATTTTATGGAAGATAGAAGGCAGCGGAAGTTACTTGGTCTGCCTGAGGTAAAAGTTTTCCACAAAATGTGCTTATTTCATCAACATAGGATTTATATTATAGCAAATTAAATTTACTAAATAGTTAATTTCACTAAGAAGTGTAATAAATAACTTTAGGGCTGGGGATGTAGCCCCATGGTAGAACACTTAGCTAGCATGCACAAGTCCCTAGGTTCAATCCCCAGTATCACCAAAAACAAGGCCAACTATAGTCAGGTATTATATAATTGTGTAATTGTCAGCACTGGTCACATATGCAACACTGTTCCTATAAAGTTACCATGGGGGGCCTGCCCATTAGCTCTGCTGTTTAAGTGCCTGCTTAAACAAAGCTGTCATGCTCAGAATGCTGTGGTTTGATCCCCAGATCTTCAAGCCAAAGCAAACCTGCCCTGAAGGCATACTGAGGTAGCCAAAAAAAAAAGTTAACAATGAAGCTGAAAAAACACCTAGTAACATAGAATAAAGTCAGGGCGAGGATTGCCCAGTAATTGTGATACTTGTGATGTAAGCATCACCAGCTGCCCTTCTAGTCTTATTTATAAAAGTGCAGCACAAATAATTCTATGTAGTATATTTGAGGATATATAGTTGGTAATAATAGTGAATGATGGTTACTGGAACTTTGTTTTTCTTTTGTGTATGGTTACTCATATCTGTTCTTACCACTCTTTTTTCCAGTACTAGGGAATTGAACCAGTGGTACTACATCACTGAACTACATCCCCAGCCTTTTTTGTGTGTTTTGTTTTTGTTTTTGAGACAGTGTCTTTCAAAGTTTCTGGGGAGGGAGTGAACTTTAGCAGTCCTCCTGCCCCACCTTCTCTCAATATTGGGATTAAAAGCTTGTGTCACTATGCCAACATTATCGCTATTTTAAATGTTTTGTAGGGATAGGGATATAGCTCAACAGCACACCTACCTGACAAACACAAGGTCCTGAGTTCAATTCCCTACACAAATACAAAAAAAATTATTGTAAAATGTTATACTTTAGTACTCATACTTCTTCTCATACTTCTGATGTTTACCAAGACTCTTGATGACATCATTTTGCCTTGTGCTTGATTTAATGTTATTGATTTTTTTTTTATATCATGGCTTTAGAAGCAATATATTGTAACATTTAAAATATGCCAGACAGGCTGTAAACAGAAGGATCTCTACAAGTCTGATCTGCGTAGTGAGACCCTGGAGACCTTGTACTACAAATACATAAGAAATGAAATGTGCCAGGCATGGTGGCACACACCTGTAATTCAAGCGGTTGGGAGGCTAAGGCAGGAGGATTGGGCAAGCTCACGACAGTCCAGGGCCAGGGAGATGGCTCAGTAGAATAAGCATTTCCCTGGCAAGCACAAGGGTCTGAGTTAAATCCCCGGTTCTGCCAAAAAAAAAAAAAAAGACAGTGCTGAACATAATGAATTCAAAAGCAGCCTGAATTACAGAGAGCCTGTATCAAAAAAAAGAAAGGAAAAGAATTGATTTAAAAAATTATATATGGGGCTGGTGAGATGGCTCAGTGGTCTAAAGCACCTACTTAGAACAAGCTTCACAAAGCACAGGGACCGCGGTTCAATCCCCCAGCACCACGTGCCGGCCAGCCCCGCCCCTGGTGGGCTGAGCTGGCCACACACACACACACACAAATAAATAAAAAAAATTTAAAAAAATAAATAATTATATATGTATGATATGTATATAACAAAATTGAGATATTTATGGCTGGGGATATAGCTCAACAGTATAGCACCTGCCTGGCAAACACAAAGTCCTAAGTTTGATTCTGGGTACCAAAAAAAGAAAAACCCATTTAGGGGCATGTGTATACATATGCATCTAGGGCTTGTGCAAATTTACATTATGATATTCACATGATCAAATTGCCTAATAGTGAATTTATAGAATGTGTCTCCATCATTAAGTAATGTGTTTATAAATATTTTTATTTGTCCTACTCCATAAATATATTAGGCTTGAAAGAAATTACAAAAACAATGCAATTTTTCTAACTGTAGCAATTAAATTTGCTTTGTCTTTAAAACATAAAACACTTCTGCCTAATTATATTTTTGCCAGGGAAGTGCTTATTCCACTGAGCCGTCTCCCCAGCCCACTAATTATATTTTTGAAGAATATAAGAATCGGGGGCTGGAGAGATGGCTCAGTGGTCTAAAGCACCTACTTAGAACAAGCTTAGCAAAGCATCAGGGACCACGGTTCAATCCCCCAGCACCACATGCCAGCCAGCCCCGCCCCCTGGTGGGCTGAGCTGGCCACACATACCACACACACACTCTCTCTCTCTTTCTCTCTCTCTCTCTCTCAAATAAATAAATAAATAAATTAAAAAAAAAAAAAGAATATAAGAATCATAGAAATGCTAATTGCATTTTCCAAAAAGAAAATTTTGCCAAGTGTGGTGGTGTGTGCCAGTAATCCCAGCCCTTGGGAGGCTGAGGCAGAAGGATCACCACAAGTTTGAGGCCAGCCTGCTCTACATAGTGAGTTTAAGCCCAGCCTGAACTAATAGTTCATATGTCAAAAAAAAAAAACAACTTGAAAGTTTCTGGCTGTTACCCTTACCTATTTGTTTCTTCTTTGTCAGAGAATCTTTTTATCTGTACTCTGAATAAGCTAACTTTCTTTTCTTTCTTTCTTTCTTTCTTTCTTTCTTTCTTTCTTTCTTTCGTCTTTTTTTTTTTTTTTTGGTGGAACCGGGGATTGAACTCAGGCCCTTGCACTTGCCAGGGAAGCGCTTATTCCAGTGAGCCATCTCCCCAGCTCCTTCTTTTGTCTTTTTGAGACAGGGTCTCGCTATGCAGTTCAGGCTGGCTTTGAACTCACTGTGTAGCCCAGGCTGGTCTCCAACTTGCAGAGATCCTTTTGCCTCAGTCTCCCAAGTACTAGGATTATAGGCTCTGCTGTCACCCCCTGCTGTGCAAAGCATTTTTAAGATAAGTTTTAATTTTAAAGCATATCATGTAATACTTTCTTTGGTTTCCTCAGGATTATTTGTATGGGCAAACTACCACTTATCTGACATATAATGACTTCATAAACAAGGAACTTATTCTGTTCTCAAATTCTGACAATGAGAGATCTATCCCATCGATGGTAGATGGTGAGTTCCAGTTTGTTATTCAATCTTATGGAAATTGATTCAATCTTATGGTTAAGTTAAGATTACTGATGTTTTCTCTTGTTTCATTTTCGAAGGTTTGAAACCAGGTCAGAGAAAGGTTTTGTTTACTTGTTTCAAGCGGAATGACAAACGAGAGGTGAAGGTTGCCCAGCTAGCGGGGTCAGTAGCAGAAATGTCCTCTTACCATCATGGCGAGGTGAGCACAGTCTGTAACGCATTCGGGAAGCCTTGCAGCAAAATAACCGAAGAGACGATATCCAGACAAAACTGGTGTGAGGATGAGCTGGGGTAGCACAGGTCTAGCAAGCAAAAGCTCCAGGAGAGAACAATTTGGTGAGCTGTATCAAATGGTAAACTGTGCTTGCAAGCCAGACCTGGTGGAACACGCCTGTCATCTCAGCACTTGGGAGGCTGAGGCAGAGAATGCTGCGAGTTCAAGGCCAGTCTGGACTGCACTGTGAGACCTTTTTCTTTTTTCATAAAAAAAAGAAGACAAAAAAATAAAGTATGCTTGCTTTTTTATTTTTAGTGGAACCGGGGATTGACCTCAGGCCCTTGCACTTGCCAAGCAAGTGCTTGTTCTACTGAGCCATCTCCCTGGCCCCTATGCTTGCTTTTTAATCTGACACTTCTAGTTTTAGAAAAAATATTCTTTCAAGGATACTCATATTTGGGTCTATATTCATATTTAATGATATTTACTTGTGGTAGGTTGTAATACTTAGGTGTATTGAATCAGTGACATAAATAAAGCTACACTAACACTGAAGAATGTGCAGAGTTTATTGCCAGGTGAGGAAAAAGGCAGAATATTGAATGCAAAATTTTTGCCTAGGAAGATGTATCCCAAAATGTTCACTTTTACTGATAACCATTTTTAAAAACTACACTGCCAGCCTGATGTGGTAGCTTACAGTTCTAATCCCAGCATTCTGGGAAGCTGAGTCTGTAGGATCCTAAATTAGAGACCAACCTGCGCAACTTAGTGACAGTGTAAAACATATCTCAAAATTGAAGAGCTGATAGGGGCCGGGGAGATGGCTCAGTGGAATAAGCACTTCTCTGGCAAGTGCAAAGGCCTCAGTTCAATCCCCGGTTCCACCAAAAAAAAAAAAATTAAAGAGCTGATAGGGGCCAGGGAAATGGCTCAGTGGAATAAGCACTTCTCTGGCAAGTGCAAAGGCCTCAGTTCAATCCCCGGTTCCACCAAAAAAAAAAAAATTAAAGAGCTGATAGGGGCCAGGGAAATGGCTCAGTGGAATAAGCACTTCCCTGGCAAGCACAAGGGTCTTGAGTTCAATCCCTGGTTCCACAAAAAAAAAAAAAGAGCTGGGGTTATAATGCAAGGTGAAGGCTTCCAGTCCCAAACAAAAACACCACAACGAAACAAAAACATCAGCTTCAAAGTTCTAGAAATTTTAAAAGTAATGGTTATGCTACTTACAGCTTTAAATCACTGTATAATGAGGACTCAGTATCTACCCAACTTAAATTTTTGAATGCCTACCTGTACTATCCACCAATTTCAGATGTATCCTTCTAGACCAAGTATATAAAAGTAAAGACAAAACACGTTCCCTACCTTCAAGGCGTGATCACAGTTTAACCAGAAGGTCAGCATATACCATAGAATGAGAGATAAATGCTAGAAAGAAACAAGCTTAGTGCTGTGGCACAGAACTGGAAATATTTCATTTTCCTGAGGGAAGGACAAGAACTTTTCCTTCAGAGTTGAGTAGAATTTGATAGATTAGTGTAGGACAAAACCCTGAGCATAGGCCTCTTTTACCATCAATTTATATGGGAGAAGAAAGTATAAATGTCATAAAACTTGTCATGTTTGCAGTGAGACTTAAGTTATATAAGTTATAACTATAAGTTATATATAACTTAAGTTATGTATATATGTATATGTATATATATTACTTAATGAATCTTTTTCCCTGCAGATGTCACTAATGATGACCATCATCAATTTGGCTCAGAATTTTGTAGGCAGCAATAATCTGAACCTCTTGCAACCCATTGGTCAGTTTGGTACCAGGCTGCACGGTGGCAAGGATTCTGCTAGTCCTCGATATATCTTCACAATGCTCAGGTGAGTATCCTTTCAATTGCTGGTGAAAGTGCTACCTCTAATGTTGAAACAGCATGAAACTAAGTTTTTTTCTTTTTTTAAAAATGTATTATTTGGTACAAGGTCTCGCTACGCAGCTCCACTCACAGTGATTCTCCTATGTCAGCCTACCTAGCGCTGGGATTATAGTTGTGTGCCACCACACCCAGGTTTTGGTGGCCAGCTCTATGGGCCCAGGGTGGGGCCAGCACGACATGCTGGTATCAAAGCCAGATCCTTGTACTTGCCAGGCAGATGTTTAGACCTCTGAGCTCTCTCGATACTCAGGCCCAAGAGACCAAAAGTTTTTTAAATGAAATTTATGGCATCTCGTAGCAGAGGCCAGGAGTGCTGCTATAAACACCGCACAGGATGCAAGTCAGCTCCTCACAACAAAGAACTGTGGCTTGGCGTGGGGGTGCACAGCTGTGATCCCAGCAGTCTGAAGGCTGAGGCAGGAGGGTAACTACAAGTTCCAGGCCAGCCTGGGCTGCACAACAAGGTTAAGGCCAGCCTACGCTGCACAGTTGAGATGCTGTCGCAAAAAAAGGAGGTGTCAGCTAGATAGCTGAGGCAAAGCCACCTGATTTGATCCCCAGTGTGCCATGCCAGCCCCACCCCTAGAGCGCGCTGAGACAGCGAATGAGCCTGGGTATGGCGCACGCCTGTAATCCCAGCGATTGGGAGGGTGAAAGCAAGAGGATCCCTACGAGTCCGATCTATATAGTGAGACCCTGTACTAAATACATTTTTAAAAAGGAAAAAAAAAATTATCCAGCCCAGAATGCCAACAGTGCCAAGGCTGGAAAACCTTGAGGTAGAATTTAGATCTATGGCACTGGTTCTTTCTAAATATCACAATTAAATTTTTACTTACTCTATATAAGTTTATAGGAAGTATGTTATGAATGATTAATTTTCACTTCTCACCTCCAACCTTTCAGCAACATTCAGCACAGTTATTAATGACTACCCTCCTTAATGTGCTTCTTCATCTGCCTCTACAACAGTAGACTGTTGGTACTCGTCTTCCTTAGGAACCTTCTCTGTTGGGTTCTTCTCTGTCCTTCCTCTGAATTCTGGCCTGTCCCAAAGATCCTTCAGCTACCTTTCTGCTAGCTGTATTCAGTTCCCACATGGCCTCCATCCATCTAGTCTACTATCTTGAAATCTGTAGTCCTAGCCTAGCTCTGTAGCACAGGTTTATAATCCCAATGTTCTGGGAGACTTAGGCAGGAGGATCACAGATTTGAGCCCAACCCCTGTAGCTTAGCAACATAGAAAGATCCTATCTCAAAATTACAAATTTGTAAAAGGCTGGAGATGTGACTCAGTGCGGAGGCTCTGGGTTCAGTTTCCAGTGCTGTCACCAAGAAACCAAATTCTCTCTTCAGAACTCTGACAGGCTTTAGTATCTGATTAGCCTTTTCAATATTTCCTACGTAACTAATAAGTTCCTCGAACACAAGTCCTGCGTTTGTAATTTAATTCTGAAATTCTATTCACTTGGGCTAAAACCTTTGAGTCACCATTGGCTCCTTTATTTTGTGTGTGTGTGTGTGTGTGCGCGTGTGCGTGTGCGCGGTGTGTGTGCGCACGCACGTGTGTGCAGGGTCTCACTATGCAGCTTGAACTCTGTAGTGATCCTCCCATTTTCAGCCTCCTCCCCAGCACTGGGATTACAGTCGCGCCACCATGCCCAGCCTCATTTGCTGTCCCAGGCACTCTGGGTGCAGGGCCAGTGGGCATGTGGTACCAGGGATCAAACCCTGGTTCCTGCACTTGTCTAAGCAGGCGCTTAGTCTGCTGAGCTATCTTGCCTGCCCTTGGCTCCTTTCTTAACACTTTTTTTTTAATGGAGAAAAGGCAGAACAGAATGCCATTCCACCCATCTATCTCATCAGCAAATCCTGTGGATTCTGTGTTGGGAAAAACTAGGCCACCTCATCTCATGTAAACTGTTGTTATAGAATCTACGGTCCTTTCTCATAGCAGCCACTTTTGAATTAATTTTTCAAAAGTGGGTCATTCAGGGTCAGAACCTCCCACCAGCTCATCCAGAGTGAGTTTAGCTACTCCACATCTTCCTTTTCATGCCGTCTCCGCTCCAGCTTTGTGCCTCAGCTGTTATTCAAGCCTGCCAGGCACTTTCCTCTCCAGCCCATGACATTTTGTACAGATGTCCACATGGCTCTTTTCCTTGGGTTTTTTTTCTTTCTTTATTCAAATACAGTCCTATCAGAAAGGCTTTGATTTTTCTTAAGAGACAGGGTCTCTCTGTGGCCTGGGCTGGCCTCAAAATTGCTGGGCTCAAGCAAGTCTCCTGCCTCCCGAGTAGCCAGGGCTACAGGTGCACGCTGCTCACTCCGACCTCATTTCCTTCTAAGGCTCAGTACCCTACCACTTAAAGTGTATGTTCTGTGATTTTGTAAAATAATGTCCTTTGATGGTTTTCTTTAGCCCTTTGGCTCGGTTGTTATTTCCACCGAGAGATGATCACACTTTGCGATTCTTGTACGATGACAACCAGCGCGTTGAGCCCGAATGGTACATCCCCATCATACCCATGGTGCTGGTGAATGGCGCTGAAGGGATCGGCACTGGGTGGTCCTGCAAAATCCCCAACTTTGATGTTCGTGAAGTTGTGAACAACATCAGGCGCTTAATGGATGGAGAAGAGCCTTTGCCAATGGTAACTGTTCTGTGTGAGGAAGCCCATTTTCCCTCTGGAATCAGTTGACTGGACTATACAAAAGAGGATGTAAATTTATTTTACCCTTTATAGTAATATTTATTGTTCAACATGATCTTAGTTACTCCCTTGTTGCTGAAACAAAACACCTGATACCCACAAGTTAAAGAAAGAGAAGTTTTATTTTTAACCCATAAGTTAACAGGAGGCTCATAGTCTGTAGAGGTTTAGGTCCACAGCTGGCTGCCGCATGGCAGAAGGGCCTGGTAGAGGAGAGGCAGTCGGGCACTGGCAGAAGGCAGGCCGTAAGCAGCAAGCCTTCCTTTCCTTTTTATTCCACCCAGGCTACAAGCCTACTGTTTGTGTCACCCACACCCACGGTGAGGCTTCCCTCTCCTGTAACCCCATTACTGCAACTATCCTAAACCGTTCAGTGGACTGATCCAGTGATCACACACCCATGACCCAGCCACCTCCCAAAAGCTCCACCTATGAGTGGTTGTCATAGGAAACACTTTGGGATTCCTGTCTTTAGTGTCATGTTTACATGCTTAGAAAACTTTATTTTTGCAGTTTTTCTTTTATTTTGTCCCATGCTCTAAAAATGCATTCACTTTTAAGATCAATTCTTTTGTTGCTAGCGTTTAATAAATATGTTTGCAGCTCATACAGTAGAAAATATTCTTTTTTAAAATACCAATTTAGCTTCCAAGTTATAAGAACTTCAAGGGTACTATTGAAGAGCTGGCCCCAAATCAGTATGTGATTAATGGTGAAATAGCTATTCTGAATTCTACAACCATTGAAATCTCAGAGCTTCCCGTCAGAACATGGACCCAGGTGAGTAATCGTGGCTTTTTTTCTTGATTTTTATGGTAGAAAGACTTTTTGCACTATCACTATTAACTGTTGAGCCAACTCCTTACTAAAGGATTGTTGATTTCTGTAGACATACAAAGAGCAGGTTCTAGAACCCATGTTGAATGGCACCGAGAAGACACCGCCTCTCATAACAGACTATAGGGAATACCACACAGATACCACTGTCAAGTTTGTTGTGAAGATGACCGAAGAAAAGCTGGCGCAGGCAGAAAGTGCCGGGCTACACAAAGTCTTCAAACTCCAAACCAGTCTCACCTGCAACTCCATGGTATGTGTTACTGTATGAAAGATACATGCTTCAGCTTTCATTAAGGATTAATACCAATTTTAGAAGATAACTTTGGCTATTTTTATAATCTTCACTAAATTTTTCGGCTCATAACTCTAATCTCCTTTTCTAGGTGCTCTTTGACCATGTAGGCTGTTTGAAGAAATATGACACAGTGTTGGACATCCTGAGAGACTTCTTTGAACTCAGGCTTAAATACTATGGATTAAGAAAAGAATGGCTCCTAGGAATGCTTGGTGCTGAGTCCTCTAAATTGAACAACCAAGCTCGCTTTATCTTGGAGAAAATAGATGGCAAAATAATCATTGGTAATGTTTTTGTAATAATTCTATGTACTAGGGCTGGGGAGATAGCTCAGTAGAATAAGCACTTGCCTGGCAAGCACAGGGTCCTGATTTCAATCCCTATACCGCAAAAAAAAATTCTGGGGGCTGGGGAGATGGCTCAGGGGAATAAGCACTTCCCTGGCAAGCACAAGGACCTGAGTTCAATCCCCAGTTCTGCCCCCCCCCCAAAAAAAAAAAAAATTCTGTGTACTAAAAATGCAGTTATGCTAATCTTTCCTTAAAGTTTTTGCTGAGAGTGGGAGGAAGCACAGAATCCATTTAGCCCCCCTGGTTGCTCATACAAGAATATAAGGTACCTGATTAGGTATTTATAGTTTGAAAGAGAAAGCCTTTCCAAGATGGAACACTTTTTGTCTTGTGCCAAAAATTAAACCCAGAGCCTTGCGCATGCTAAGCATGTGGACTGCCGCTGAGCTACAGCGTCATCTCCCAGGCTGTGCATCAGGATTTACTTGCCATTTAGGCAGAAAGAAAATAGAAAGCTAGCGGGCTTCATGAGAGGAAGAGGTGTTGATGACAGGAGAAAAAGGCAGGAAGGAGATTATGAGTGGCTTGTACAAAAGCTTGGTGCCCGAGACTGAGAAAGTCAAGTCTTAGAGATTGTTTTGGGGGCTGGGGATTTGGCTCAGCAGTAGAATGCTTGCCTAGCAAGCCGGAAGCTCTGGGTTCAGTCTGCAGCACCAAAAACAAAAAAATAAACCTCCCCTAGAGATTGTTGTTGTTAAGAAATAAGTGAGCATTAAGTGGGAAGAAGAGCTTTCACTGAAGCTGGGTATGAAGAAGGTTAAAAGAAATAGCTCAGAGCCTGCATGCTGCCACCTGTCTGTGATCCAGCACTTGGAGTTTAGGCCAGCCTGGGCGTCACAGCATGACCTTGGCAGAGGAAAGAAGGGAGAAAGCAGGGCTTTGGCCAGAGCTAACAAGAAAAGCAGCTAATTTTGATGAGTTATACTAGCACGTCCCAAAGCACAGTAACACAAGTTGCTGGTGAGCAGGGGCCTACTTTCTGATGGTGTGCAAAAATAGCTACCTTAACAATTTTTTTTTTTTAATATTTTATTTATTTATTTGTGTGTGTATGTGTGTGGCCAGCTCAGCCCACCAGGGGGCAGGGCTGGCTGGCATGTGGTGCTGGGGGATCGAACCGCGGTCCCCGTGCTTTGCTAAGCTTGTTCTAAGTAGGTGCTTTAGACCACTGAGCCATCTCACCAGCCCTACCTTAACAATTACATGTTTCTTTCAGTACGTAAGACACCAGCACCAGCACATCAGCCTTACTTCACAGACATTGCTTAAGGCAGGACTAGAAGAAGTGGTACTGGACGTGGCTTGAGGGGAAAAGGAACTTCTTCCTAGCTAGCACTAGGAAATTCTAAGGACTGTACAGTCTTCTGAAAGAACAAATACCAAAGTCTAAATGTGTGACCAGTTTCAAATAAACTGGAGTAATGTGGTGTAATAGTCATTTCCTGGGCTGGCAAGATAACTCAGTGGACTAAGCACCTGCTTTGGCAAGCATGGGGACCAGGGTTCAATCCCTGTCCTGCATGCTGCACCAACAGCACCCCCATGGTGGGCCAATGCCTATATGGTGGCACATGCCTATAATCCCAGTTCTGGGGAGGCTGAAAACAGGAGGATCACTACAAGTCTGATCTATTTAGTGAGACCCTGTAGACCCTGTACTAAATACATTTGTTTCTTTTTCTAAATACATTTTTTTTTAAATAAAATAAACCAGGATATAAGGCTGAAGCAGGATTGTGAATTTGAGACCAGCCTATGCTACAAAGTGAGCTTAAGGCCAGCCTGACCTGCATAGTTGAGACCCTGCCTCAAAAACACATAAAAATAAAGAAATACATAAATAAACCAGGATGGGGCTGGTGAGATGGCTCAGTGGTCTCAAGCACCTACTTAGAACAAGCTTAGCAAAGCACAGGGCCCGCGGTTCGATCCCCAGCACCACATGCCAGCCAGCCCCGCCCCCTGGTGGGCTGAGCTGGACACACACACACACACACAAATAAATAAGTAAATAAATAAATAAATAAATAAATTTAATAAATAAACCAGGATGTACAAATTATGAAACTGTTAGATCTGTAGTTTTAATATTTTGACTCGTGGTAAAATTTTATCCATTTCTTGAGGTCTTACTCAAAACCATTGTCTCTATTTACATTTTTTAATAGAAAATAAGCCAAAGAAAGAATTAATTAAAGTTCTGATTCAGAGGGGATATGATTCAGATCCTGTGAAGGCCTGGAAAGAAGCCCAACAAAAGGTAAGGACGTGGGTTGTGCGCCTGCTGATACCATGTGCGTGTGCCTCATGACGCCTGTGAACTCTACATTTGCATCTGTGTTTTAGGCTCCAGATGACGAGGAAAACGAAGAAAGTGACAGTGAGAGGGAGGCTGCAAAGGGTGACTCTGCCGCAGACACTGGGCCGACATTCAACTACCTCCTTGACATGCCCCTCTGGTACCTGACCAAGGAGAAGAAGGATGAGCTGTGCAGGCAGAGGAGCGAGAAGGTACCAGAAAAGGTGGTGCCCATGGCGGGCTGGTGCGGGCAGCTGCATACCGCTCCGATGGGGAAAAGAAGACGCAGTGGGGTGCCGCGTGCGTGGGGTGCCGCGTGCGTGGGGTGCTTATGTACATACTGACTGCTTTCTGGTAATCTTCTAAAGGAGCAAGAACTGGATACATTAAAGAAAAAGAGTCCATCAGATCTATGGAAGGAAGACTTGGCTGCCTTTATTGAAGAACTAGAGGTAGGCAGTTTGTAAGGCCGGTGTTAAAAACTTCATCAGGGGCCGGGGAGATGCCTCAGTAGAATAAGTAAGTGCTTGCGGGTCTGAGTTCAATCCCCGGTTCCGCCAAATAAATACATACATACATACATACATACATACATACATACTTCATCAAGGAGATAATGTATACCAGAGATATGCCTCCTTGGCAAAAACTTGAGAATTCACAATAGAATATAGAAAACCTAAGGATCCATTCCAAAATAGCATAAAAGAGTAATTATTAAATACTAGTCAGAATAAAGGAAGTGATACCAAAATAATCAGTCTACCTAGGCAAGCTCTTTTTGTGGTGGTTGGGCCGGGACCTGGAGGTCTACTGCTGAGCTACGTCCCAGCCTTCTATTCCTTTTTTATTTTAATATTTTGAAGGGAGTCTAAACTGCTCAGGTTGATTTTAAACATTCAGTCCTCCTGCCTCAGCTTGGGGGAAAAAATCGAAAGACAGGAATTCACTTTTTAAAAACCAAGTAGAAAGGGTCCTTCAGGACTAAGAAGCACAGCACGCCAGCCCAGCCCTAGGTCTGCTCAGGGCAAAGCCAGCCTACTCTCAGGCCTCGCCAGCCACACTGAGTGCATTGCTTATCAGTGGTTTTCTCACGTAGGAAGAAAGCTGATTCCACGCATGCTAGATTTAATATGCAAATTAATACCACTGTTCAGTGTAGATGCCCAGTGTCTTGGAATCAGCTGATATGTGTATGTAGCTAATTTATCCTTACATTACAGTTTCCCCTTTTTATCTGCAGAAAGGATAAATGATAGAATTCCACCAAAAAACCCCAATCTTCTGTCTCTACACCTGGCTGTTCACAGTGTGCCTCAAATTACATATTTACTGTTGATGTTCTTGGTTATGGAACAGCTTACTACAGATTTATCTTGGGATGTAACATATTTAAATCAGTTGCATTTTAACTGTTACAGGCCTTGATTAGCTTCTGAACTTGCTTTCACAATTAAAACCCCTTTGTAGGCTGTTGAAGCCAAAGAAAAACAAGATGAGCAAGCTGGACTTCCTGGGAAAGGTGCGAAAGCCAAAGGGAAGAAAGCACACCTGGCTGAAGTGCTGCCTTCTCAGCAGGGAACAAGAGTCATTCCTCGAGTGACTGTAGAGATGAAAGCGGAGGCAGAAAAGAAAACTAGGAAGAAAGTGAAGGTGACTGCTCCTGAGGACACTGCACAGAAGTACTGTAGTCACTTAAAGCTGAGTTTCTAACCCCGTGGTTTGGAAGTAATCCTACGTCTAACTGTAACTTTCTTAAGCACTTGATTTTTTTTTTAACATTTAATTTTCTTTTTTTCTTTCTTTTTTTTT